TAGATTATTAGTGAGTTAAATAAAATATCTCAGAATAGCCCCGTCCCTTCTAAAACCTCCACTCATTCCCTTTAAATTAACCCCTTAAGGACAGAGCTTCAAAAGCTTGTCTTTCACTTAATGACAACGGCATTTTTTTCATTTTTTGCTGTTTGCGTTCAACTGCAATTTGCATTTTATTAATTTGTTGCACCAACACATATTATACATCGTTTTTTAAAGGACAGAAAGGGCTTTAATTTGATGTAACACACATATATATAAATGCTTATTTATTATAAAAAAATACAGAAAAATGTAAAAAAAATGAAAATTTTGTGTTTTTTTTTACAGTTTTTGCAATAATAATGTGTGCATATTTAGTGCAGGTTAAGAAAAGTAATTAAAAATAAATTAATTTAGTTGTTCTGATTTACAGAATATACAATGTGTCTGGGATTTTAAGTTTTTTTTGGTAGTTACAGGTCACAAAGCACAAGGAGTAAAATAGACTTTTAATGTGGATCGATTTTAGAATTTGGTATGTTTGTCTTGTAAGCTTAATAGCCATAAAAGAAAACAAAATTGCCACACAAAAGTATATATTTATATAAAGTTGACATCACGGGCTATTTACCTAAGGTTGTTTTGACACTTTCTACGTAGCCATATTACCGCCAACCTCTGCTAAATATTGGAGTAAAATTGTGTTCTTTTTGGTTTTTGGCACACAAACTTATAACAGAGAAATTCTCGTGTATATTTTGTAAAGTTGGTGTGTACTATTCCTGTACAAAGTTTTATTTTGTGTTCAGTTACATCTGCTGAGTAAAATGACACCCCCATTGTATGTCTTTGGCACTATTTTGTGAAGTTACAGTGCCACACAGGATACCTGTCCTTTTCAGTATTCACAGTAGAATTTTGAGAGATGGATTTAATGAGCCTTAGCTTCCATTTGGGGTATTATAACAGTTTGACTGTTAAAAAAACCCCCACAAAGGCCTACCATTTGTAAAAGTAGACACTCCAGGGTATCTTATAAGGTGCATATTGTGCCTTAACATGCCCCATTTTTTCACCAATATATGCCAAAGTATGTGGTAAAAAATAATTTTGTGCATTTTTTACATACGGATTGCATTTTTGCTGGGCGTTTTGTATATTTCATATGTGCCACTAAGTTAAAACCCCCCAGATTATGCTCAGCTAAGTCTTCTGAGTAAAATGACACCCCATATGAATGTCTTTGGCACTATTTCGTGAAGCTACAGTGCCATATAGGAGACCTGTCCTTTACAGTATTCACAGTAGAATTTTGAGAGATGGATTTAATGAGCCTTAGCTTCCATTTGGGGTATTATAACAGTTTGACTGTTCAAAAAACCCCACAAAGGCCTACCATTTGTAAAAGGAGACACTCCAGGGTATCTTATAAGGTGCATATTGTGCCTTAACATACCCCCATTTTTTCACCAATATATGCCAAAGTATGTTGTAAAAAATTATTTTGTGCATTTTTTACATACGGATTGCATTTTTGCTGGGCATTTTGTATATTTCATATGTGCCACTAAGTTCAAACCTCCCAAATTATGCTCAGCTAAGTCTTCTGAGTAAAAAGACACCCCCAATGAATGTCTTTGGCACTATTTTGTGAAGCTACAGTGCCATATAGGAGACCAAGCCATATCCGTTTTTACCAAACTTTGAATTTTGACGCTGGGCCTATGTGCAATTTCCAAGCATCTTCGCAGGTTTTAAATTCAATCTACCCCAAAAAGGCCTACCATTTCTTAAGGTAGACACCCCAGGGTGTTTCAAAAGGTATAGTTTGAACCTTAGCGTGGGATCATTTTTCCGCTAGCTTGTACCAGATGTAGTGGTAATAAGCGTTTTTTCTGCCATTTTGACATACAAAGTGAGTTTGCACAGTATATTTTGCAAACCTTATGTGTGCTACGACTGTATAATACTTCATATGTTGCTCAGCTATGTCGGTTGAGTACAGCAATACCCCCGTATGTACCTTTGCCAGGTATGTGTGGACATCAGAGGGGCACATTTGGGACACAGCCATTCCAGTTTTTTTCAAACTTTGAATTTTTATGCTGTGCCTATGTCCCATTTTAGAGTATTTTACCAGGCTATATAATCCAAATACCCCATAAAGCCATACCATTTCTTAAAGAAGACATCCCAGGGTATTTCAAAATTCATATTTTGAACCTTAGCGTGGGATCATTTTTCCGCTAACTTGTACCAAGTGTAGTGGTAATAAGCATTTTTTCTGCCTTTTTGACATACAAAGTGAGTTTGTGCAACATATTTTGCAAACCTTATGTGTGCTATGACTGTATAATACTTCATATGTTGCTCAACTATGTCGGCTGAGTACAGCAATACCCCTGTATGTACCTTTGCCAGGTATATGTGGATGTTGAAGGGGCGCATTTGAGACGCAGCCATTCAGTTTTTTTCTAACTTTGAAGTTTTACGCTGTGTCCATGTTCCAATTTGGAGTAGTTTAGGCGGTTGGTTATTGAAACTTCCCCACAAACACATACTATTTATTAAAGAATACACCCTGGGGTAATTCAAAAGGCATATTTTGAACCTTGGCGTGGGATATTTTTTTCTCTAGTTTGTTCCAGGTGTAGTGGTAATGAGCGTTTTTAAAATGTATTTTTTAACTTTTTATAACTTTTTACTTTTAAAAACTAGTTTTTAAACTTTTGTTTTGCGTATTAATTTTTTTTAAACTTTCCTAAACTTTCTTAAAACTTTTTTACAGATTTAACATTTTTCTAAGCTTTTTTTTTTACCGTTAACCCCTAACTAGCAGTACGCAGCACTAACAGTAAATTCCCCATTTTCCCATAACTCCCACCCACCCCAGCTAGCAAAATACATAGTTATAAAATATTTTAATTAATTAAATAAATAAATTGAACCCCTGAGGGTTAAAAAATAAATAAAAAGTTAATCCTCAGGGGTTAAAAAAAATTAGATCACAGTATAATACTGTGATCTCTATTTGATCGCTGTAGGCAGTGATCGACTGGCAGGGAAGGGGTTAATTTTTATTTGGACTAGGTAAAGGGTATTTTTTTTTTTTTTTTTACTTACGTTATTAAAACATTTTTTAAGCTTAATTTTTTACTTTTTAAAGGTTATTTTAAAACTTTTTTTAACGTTAACCCCTACTTAGCCTAACGCCAAATCCCCCAATTCCCCACTAACTTCCACCCACCCCAGCTAGCTAAATATATAATTTTAAAATATTTTAATTAATTAAATAAATTTAACCCCTGAGGGTTAAAAAAAAATGAATTAACCCTCATGGGTTAAAAAAAAAATCAGATCATAGTAAAATGTAATCCCTGCCAATTGATCACTGTAGTCAGTGATCAATTGGCAGGGAAGGGGTTAATTTTTTATTAAAATGGGTAAGGGGGGGGGACTTTAAATAAACTTTTTTTTTTTTTTTAACAGCAGGGGGCAGGATCAGCACTGATCCGGCTCCCTGCACTTCACACAGAACCCGGAAGTGCAGGGAGCCGGTAGGTAAGTATACAGAGCACATGTGCTCGCTCAGACTTGCGGTCAGAGCGAGCACATGTGCTGGGCAGCCTGACCGGGTGCTCCCGGTATGCCTCTAATGCAGAGGCATACTGGAGCACCATTAACCCCGCGATCGCCGCAATAGCGGCGATCCGGGGTTAATTTTACCGCGTGACGGACGAGGTCCGTCACTCGTCGTTAAGGGTTTCCCCTGAGTGACGGACCTCGTCCGTCACCCGTCCTTAAGGGGTTAAAGTATTTTTCCATTTAATATGTTGTAAGGTATTTTAATAGCTGGATTGAAAACATAACTGATTCAATTTTGCCAGTTCATCTATTCTGATCTAAAATTGTAATTCAAGACCAATTTACACTTAAAGGGACACTATAGTCACCAGAACAACTACAGCTTATTAAAATTTGTTCTGGTGAGTAGAATCATTACCTTCAGGCTTTTTGCTGTAAACACTGTCTTTTCAGATAACTCCACTGGCCACTCCTCGGATAGCTGTTAGAGATCCTTCCTGGGTCATTGTTGCCTAAAATGCAACCAAACATTCAGTGTCTCCTCCCTCTGCATGCAGACACTGAACTTTCCTCATAGAGATTCATTGATTCATCTCTATGAGGACATGCTGATTGGCCAGGACTGTGTTTTAATCATGGGCTGTGTTTTAATCATGCTGGCTCTGCCCCTGATCTGCCTCTTTGTCAGTCTCAACCAATCCTATGGGGAGGCATTGTGATTTGATCAGGCCACCACTTCTGATGATGTCAGCAGATAGCTTGTTTTTCTGAGACAAACAGCATGCAGATCTACAGCTTCAGGCTTGAATACAGTAAGAGTTTGTATATTTATGGAGGCATGAGGGGCCCAGGGGCGCTAGGTGGTGGATTTAACACTATAGGGTCAGGAATACATGTTTGTGTACTTGAACCTATAGTGATCCTTTAAGAGTTTTATTCACTGTGCATCAAATTGTAACAGATTAAAGTGTGCCAATCTGCTTCTCCCCATAGAGATTAATTGATTCGTTGCACCTCCACAAGGAGCATGGAGATACCGACTGTTGTTCCTGCAAAGACTGCAGGACCACAAGCAGGAGGCCCCTTTTCTGGCTGTCAGATTGACAGGCATTACAGCTGGCCTTAAGTAGCCATCTAACCGCAGCCTTTCTAGACTGTGGGGACTGTCCCTTTGACCCAGAGTCACTGCATTGAGCTCTTGTGTTTCTGGTGCCTAGATTGTTTCAATAATGTTTGCTGCTATTTATAAAGCCTTAGTCACACCCCTCCTGTCTGTGGCTCACACAGCTTCCCTAGCAAGCATTTTTTTTTTATTTTCTCTATATTTTTTTTACAACATAATATGCTTCCTTTAGTAGCTCAAATTTCCTACTCTGTCTATTGACCTTTATTCACACACAAGAGGCTCCTGCAGGAGTTAACAAACTATTAACTGAGCAGGAGATGGTCAAAAAGTAGATTGTCGTCTGTTGCAGAACTACACATCTCGTGATGGCTAGCAAAGCATCATTCATTGTTAAAGGGACACTATAGGCACCCAGACCACTTCAGCTCATTGAAGTGGTCTGGTCTGTGCACAGTGTTCCTGTCCTCCTTATTATTGCAATTTAAAACATTGCAGTTACAGAGAAACTGCAATGATTACTTTGCAGGACTATGACTGCTTATAGTGACTGTATATCAACAGCCACTAGAGCCACTTGCAAGATTCTAACAGACTCTGAGTCCCTTGATTGGGACATACTGAACATCCAGCATTAGTTAAACCCCATAGGAAAGCACTGAGTCAATGCTTTC